TTCTGGACTTACATGGCCGAGATCCTGGGATTGAACAGGTCTGACTTTACTTCCACGGACAACCGCGAGTTGGCCAAGCAATTCAGGGACTCTATTTGATTAGAACACTCCCCTTTATGAATTCAGAATTTTTATGAACATTTTTAATCTTTCACGAATTTCAACCTTTTTTTAGAATCCAAGACAACCAATATTACTTTATTTTAACATATATTTATTTAGTGACAACTATAGTTTTGTATTATAGGCTTTATACTTTATATATTTGTAGTGTATTCTCTCCTTAGTTAGCTATAAAATAAAAAATAAAAATTGACAAATATCTTGTTTCTTTTATTTTCTTTAGTTTTTCCTATATTTTTCATTTCACCTATTTAGTACATATCAATCAATTTGGTACATATTTTAAATAATAGAATAATGGCCCGCTTACAATTAAGATTTATAAATATTTGTGATGTAGACCAGAGAGAAGAGCATATTTTATAAAACAATAGGTTATATTTTTAAAGTAATTCTATTATATATTTATTCCTATACTTATTATAATAAAGATAATCAATCATAAGACGATTTTTGAAACACTTATTGACTCTGATATCTAAAAGGAGTTAAGAGATAGAAACCTTCTCCCCCCTTTGCAGCTCTAAACTACAAGGTGCGTTCATTTTTGTATTATATAGCGCCTCTGACATGTGATGCCATGAGATCCTAACTTGAAGTACAGACACTGCTTATCCCTGTCTTTTGATTACAAGATGTTATCTCAACTGGATCTATATATAAACATTTTTTAAACATATATTTATTGAGATTACATATTAGAGTTAATAATATATACAGTTGAACCTGTCTATAGCGCCCCCTCTAAATAGCGCCCGATTTTAATTACGTAGTACGATGCGATTTACATTAAAAGTGACCTGTCTATAGCACCCCCTCTCTATAGCACCCTATTTAGGTGAGTTCCAAGAGGAGGCGCTCTAGACAGGTTTAACTGTACATATTTTTAATTAAATATCTATTTATGGTTGGAAAATTTGCCGGGAGGAAATTAATCCATAGAAGTAATGGGCGCTTCTCCCGTCGAATATAAACGTCAAAACCTGACGCCATCTATTGACCGTCTTTTGACGGGAGAAGCGCCCATTACTTCTAAGGATTAATTTCCTCCCGGCAAATTTTCCAACTATGTTCTATCCATAGGTTTGGCCCAGCCACATTGCCAGCAAAACACCTCTTTGGTAGATTGTGAAGATTCCATTAGATCCCGTGTGGATCTCACGGAATAAAGTCCGCCCTAGACTGACAAGGGCCATTAGCCCGAAACCATGGTCTCTAGGTGAACGCTTCTCAATTTGCTAAAGCTGGTGTTGTGGCTTTGTCACCGACCCGAGGCCGCTAGTTCGGCGACAGTCAATAGGTGGCGTCAGGTTTTGACGTTTATTTTGACGGGAGAAGCGCCCATTACTTCTATGGATCTATTTATGGATGGCTCTATTTTCAAAATGTATTCAGTATGTGTTAAGAATAAAACATATTCTGACCGTGCAATTAAAATTTGTTTATTACTTCCACGAACTATCAGAGTAAGTGTATAACGTTGATTTGTAATTATTCCACAATATATTGGGCAAAATATCCTTTCTTGGTAAAATAAAGAAAAGACAATCACATACCCGTTTCAGACGACACCACCACAGATTCCAGTAAATTTCACTTTTATACTTTTTTTTCAATTCAAAATGATCAATTTATTATAAAATCTTGTTTTCTCAAATATTTTATTTTGTATCTCACCTTAGTCAATTTTTTTATTAGAAAATATACTTTTTATTATTATAAATGGTTTCTTATATTACGTTTTGACTTTTAATGAATTTGTTTTAATGTCCACATCCATACAGAGTTCAAAACAACAACTGGTTCAGTGGAGCCACGATTTCAGATAAATTTTCCACAAAGCGTCCCAGATGGTTCACCATGCCAATAAATATTCTTACGCCATGAACATCGGTCGGAGCAGGCATCTTCGCCACTGCTTCGATTTTCGCTGGATCTGGTCGGATACCGTCTTCATCCAGTATGTGCCCAAGAAAGTTAATTCTTGGCACGCTGAAGACACACTTGGCCTTGTTTAGTGTAACTTTCGCCTCTTTCAGTTTTCGGAGCACTAAACGAAGAATTCGATCGTGAGTCTTGGGTTCGGAGGCAAATATCAGGATATCGTCCAGGTAACACATTACACCGTCCATGCCTTGCAAGATTATTGACATAACTTTCTGAAAATACTCTGGGGCGAGTGAGATTCCAAATGGCATTCTGCAGTATTTATATCTCCCAAAAGGAGTGATGAAGGTCGTTAAATGCTGGCAGTCCGGGCTCAACGGAATCTGGTGAAAGCCACTGTTCGCGTCCAGTTTCGAAAAGAATCTTGCTTCCCCCAGTTGCCCCAGCATGTGCTCCACCACTGGCATGGGATGCACTTCGCGCTGTACATGTTCGTTCAGCCTTGAGAGATTCACACAGAGTCGTATGTCACCATTCGGTTTACCAGCAATCACAGTCGGTGCACACCATTCAGTCGCAACGTTAGCTTGTGCTATGATTCCCGCCTTCTCGAGCTCTTCCAATCTTGTTTTGAGCTTTCCATCAAAGGTATTGGTACCCGTCGAGGAGTATGCACAGCATATGGTTTTGCTCCAGGTTTCAATTTGATTTTGTAAGGGTTTCCTATCTGTCCCAGTCCTTCAAATACTTCAGGGAATTCCTTGATCGGGTTAATTCTCGTCGCAACCACTTCAATCCGCCTCGCCAGGTTCAAGAGCTCACATGCCCGGCGACTCATAAGAGGTTCACTCAAACGATGAATGACATAAATCTTCTCCTTGATTTCATAATTGCCATTTCGCAGCGTTGATATAAACATACCCACAGTCTGAAGTTCGGAGAATTCAGCAGCTCTCTAATGTTGATATCACTTTCCACTAGTCGTTGCTGTCCCATTATCTTCTTGAAGAGACACAGAGGAACACATGTAACAACCGCCTGGGAGTCGAGCTTGAACTTCAGCTGTTTCCCGTTCACTTGGATTTCTGCTGTCCATCGCCTCCTGCACTCGCCTTCATCATCATCGAGATTAGATGAATCCTCCACAGCTGAGACCTCCAGGAGAAAACCAATTTCTTCATCAAGTTCAGGAACAGCTTTGACTTCCGCAGTCTTCGCCTGCTTATCTGGGCAGCAATTTGCAAAATGGCCAGTTTTTGAACATAGGTTACATCTTTGTCCTTCAGCACGGCAAGCCTGTCCTTCCCTGTGGGTGAAACCTCCGCACTTTGGAGATCGTGATCTTGTTTTGGCTGACTTCTCCTTCTTCCTCGAAGGCTGCTGTTGTTGTTTCGGTGATTGTTTCTTCGAATTGAACTTCACCTGATTGACCTTTTGGCTTGTTGAGGGACGCTGCAGGTCGACTTGCTGCTGTCGAACGGCTTCCTGCTGTCGAACCATTTTCACCGCCTTTTCCAAAGTCAGTTCGCTGTCCAACTGCATTCTTTCAGATAAAGCTTTGTCCCTCACTCCAACCACTATTCGGTCACGGATCAACTGCTCATGAAAACCCTCAAATTCGCAACTATCAGCCAATTTGTACAATGAAGTGATGAATTCGTCCACTGGCTCCCGATCCTCTTGGATTCTTGAATTAAATTTCGCACGTTCGTAGATAATATTCTTTCTGACACAGAAGTGGCTGTCGAACGCCTTGAGGACGGAATCAATTTTCGTTGCCTCTTCCTCCTTTTCGAACTTGAAGGTCCTGAATATATCATCCGCGCGGTCACCCATCAAGTACATGAACAAATCGATCTTGTCCGCCTCCTCTTTCTTCTTCATTCCACTGACCACGAGGTATCGTTCGAATCTCTTCCTCCATTTGGGCCATTCGTTGGGAGTCGAGAAGTCGAAAGTTTCTGGAGGTTGAATCTGAGCCATGTTGAATTATCTTCCAAGGTACGCAAAAATCGATATTTTGCAATATACGGGTTCGTATTTTATCCAGTTATCGCTGCCACCATGTTTTAATGTCCATCCATACAGAGTTCAAAACAACAACTGACTCACCCGTGCAGCAAGGTCACGCTCCGCTGCGTCACGTGGGAAAACATAGTACATCTTCTCTACATGTTCTCAGCACAGAATTCTTTCTCAATTTTTAAAATTATAAATTAACACCTTATCCTAAATAAAATACAAGGTTACTTCTTTTTCTCTCTTCCCATTTTTTTTTTTAATTTCTAGTCTACAACAAGTCCAAATTTGTACATTCTGGGAACCCTATAAAATATAAATCAAATTTATTTATTTTTTTTATTAAATCTTTGTTAATTTCATTACAAAATTCATTACAATTCGTTATAAATTCAAAATATCTAATTAAAGGTTGAAAATCTACATATCAAATAAATATATATTTTGATTCAAAAGGCGATCCATTAATTAAGATTATATAAAAGGGCGTACCTGGATCTGTAAAAAAAAAACAATTTTTTTCTCAAAATATTTCGAGAGATTGCTCCCTCTTTATCAATTTATTGCACAGTCATTTTGTGAAAAAAAAATGTTTTTTTTTTCTTTACAGATCCAGGTACGCCCTTTTATATAAATACTAGATGAATGGCCCGGGCAACGCCCGGGTTTTAACCGAGTGCGTATATATTTTAAAAACGTTTTAATTCAAATACTATTTGTTATAATTATAAATTGGCGCCATGGATGTCACTCTTGTGAAACGTCCCGTTCCAAACTGTGTGTTTTTAAAATGTTTTAATTAAAATACTATTCGTTTATACAAATTTATTTTTATTCAAATATTAGTGCTTTTTTTTTTATAATGGCTATCTCCTTGATGTTACCAATTTAAAAGTTTATTTTCTAATTTTTGATTGTATAAGAAACATATTTTCATTTAAGTATTGTACTTTATATGAACGGAAAAATATGTCCAGGGTAGCCTAGTGGTCATGGCATCTGCCCGGTGAGCGGAAGGTCGTGGGTTCGATTCCCATCCCTTGACACTTTTTTTATTTTATCCATTCTGACCAAAATCTATCCGTGAATTTCACACAGTGAACTTCACACAGACAGAATAAGGCAATTATATAATATGCATAATTATAAAGATAGAAGCTTCTATAGAAAAACTAAAATAAGCCAAAATAGCTCAGTTGGGAGAGCGTTAGACTGAAGATCTAAAGGTCCCTGGTTCGATCCCGGGTTTCGGCATCTTTTTTTAATATTTTAATTTTTTAAACGATGACAGAATTGATGACTGACCAAAATCTATCCGTGAACTTCAGACAGTGAACTTCACACAGACAGAATAAGGCAATTATATAAGTAGATTTATTTATTATCATTTACAAAGCACGCGATATCCGTCTTGGATATTTGCATGCATACACAAGTTTGGGAGCTTATTTACAGTAATTATTAATATGATTTTAGTTATTATAATAGAAATTATTAACATATTTGTCAGTTAGTTAACGATTTAATTACCCTATAATGAATATTAGTGAACATCACAGATAAGAACAGAAATTTAGAGCTATTTACAGCATATATCTATATATCAGTTATTACAGCCCAGGCTATCTATTACTAAAAAACATTCTACAAAATCTATTAAAATTTATATACATATATCTATTATTAACTATTTGATTTAGACAGTTTATATTTATTTGATTTTTGACTCTCAAGTCCTCTACAAGTCGACAGTCCGTTAGAATATGTACAGGATTTTCTTCTTCTGCACCACATGAGCATTTAGGCGAATCCGTCTTTCTGACTTTGTACAAATATGATCTAAAGTTACAGTGTCCAGTAAAAAATTGGACATTGTAAAAATTTGGCTTGACATATTTGGGTATTTGGGAATCAGTGAAGAAGGACTTGAAAATGGTATTAGTCTTCTCATAGTATTTCTGCAATTTTCCCCTTATATAATTAGAAATTATATTCCTACTTGAAGAGTCAAATCGGTTGTAATTTATTTCGGTTTTCAACATGTTAGATTCAATATAATCAGTAATTTTGGAGACTTGTGCAAGTATATGTGTACAATCCGATGATGTTGTACTGTAGGCCTGTATACAATGTTTTAATATATTATATTGAAGAGAATTTAGTTTGTCCTTAGACTTTTTGTTTATGAATGGATACCATATTGGATAACCATAAGTAATTGTACTTCGATATAATGTCTTATATATAAGTAGATGCATAATTATAAAGATAGAAGCTTCTATAGAAATAACTAAAATAAGCCAAAATAGCTCAGTGGGAGAGCGTTAGACTGAAGATCTAAAGGTCCCTGGTTCGATCCCGGGTTTCGGCATCTTTTTTTTAATATTTTAATTTTTAAAACGATGACAGAATTGATGACTGACCAAAATCTATCCGTGAACTTCACACAGACAGAATAAGGCAATTATATAAGTAGATATATTTGTTTTATTTATTCAACCTATAAAAATAAAAATATTTAACAGATTTTAATTAAAATATTGCACAGATTTACAATAATCATCATGCAATACATATTATTCATTATTTTCTGTCTGCCTTTCTCTCTATTTCTGTCTGTACTATAATAAAACATAATTAAATACAACAATTAATTGTTAAAATAATATCTACCAAAATAATATTCAACAAAAAAACTATACAATGGCTCAGGACAGTATCAGAGCTTCTAACCCCAGCATCATCCAGTACTCCAGACTGGAATTGTGCAAGTTCAGACTTACTTCAAACATTCTCCAAGTCCCAGATGTCCTCAAGAATTGTCCAGTTCTAATACGTATTCCTACGAAGTATGATATGGAAGATTGGGCAGAGAAGGTCAGACGTCTGGAGAATCCTTCATCCTCTGACTCGAGGAACAGAGAAACTGGGGATAGAATTCCCGCCTCCAATAGTAATTGGAGGAGCAATGTCCCCTGGTACAAAAATAATGTAAATAGAAATTACAGAAGTGAAGTGGCAAAGAAACCAGAATATATCTGGAAACCAGCCAGACTCCAGAAAGATGACAAGAACACATTAAAAGTGAAAATTATTTCAATCTTGAACAAAATAACGCCAGAGAAGTTTGCCAAGCTGTCCTCACAACTGGCAACTCTGAGAGTCCAGGACACTTTCCTCAATGACGAGCTGGCGGCCATTTTCCACGAGAGGGCGCTCGAGGAGAGGTTCTACATCAAAACCTACGTGGACCTGATCCTCTCCCTCTCCCTGGACCTACTGAACGGTCCCAAGAACAAGAGCATTGTCCAGTACCTGCTGGGATGCTGCCAGATAGAATTTAAGAAAATGTACACTGAAGACGATCTTGCAGTCTGCAAGGTGAAGGAGATGGACGAGGAGCTGTACGTCAAGCTGAGGAAACAATCCAATCTTAAGATTGTTGGAGAACTCTTCGTACAGGACAAAGTCAAAATGTTCATTGTCAAACAATGTCTGACCAAATTGTTAGAAGATCCCAGTGACTTGAATGTAGAGTTGGCCATTACCTTCCTGGAAGTCATTGGTCCTACACTTCAGAAAGTCGACAACGCCATGCTGAGCGGCGCCGTGGATAATTTGAGAAACATCAGAGAGAACGGCAACAGTAGTAATCGCATCAAATTTAAGATACTGGACTTTGTCGAGCTGGTAGCTTCCAACTTTAGAGGGAGGCAAAATGACGAGATCAAAAAGGCCTTCAAACCTGATGTGATAAAGAAAGAGGCTTCAGAGACCGAAATGCCACGAAATGATAGCATCTCGATTTTTCCCCAAAATAAATTACAAGAAAACATAAATGAACACCAACATCAATTCAGACAGGCTTCTGATAATTGGAGACAGACAAAATATCCATCAAATGGAAACTTTGTGAATAGGCCAAATTATCAAAACAATAAACAACAGGGAAATAATTATCAACATCCCAGTAATAGGAACTGGCGTAGCTCTCCACACCAAGCCCCACAAAATAATTGGAGAGGGCCTCAGCAACGTGAGGTCTACCCGCCACAACAGGCGCCTGTCAAGAAAGCGAACTTTTACAGAGAAGAGCCCGTAATAGAGTCTGAGGAGGTGCTCAAGGAGAAACTTGCGACAATAGTCAGGGAAGGCCCTCTTGACGAGAAGATAGTGAAGTTACGCGAGCTGCAGCGCCACTCCAAGGGCTGGCCGCAGATGGTATACCTGTGTCTAGACGTGATCCTGGAGACTGACCAGAGCATCAGGCGAGAGATTGGGCGTCTGCTGAGATCTCTGCCTTACATAAGACTGCAAGAGTTCCTGGCTGGATACGACCAATTGACCGAGTTTGCTGATGACCTGGTCGTGGACATCCCCAACTTCTGGACTTACATGGCCGAGATCCTGGGATTGAACAGGTCCGACTTTACTTCCACGGACAACCGCGAGCTGGCCGAGCAATTCAGGGACTCTATTTGATTAGAACACTCCCCTTTTGTGAATTCAGAATTTTTTTTTGAACATTTTTCTCTACCTCTTTCAAGAATTTCAACCTTTTTTTTAGAATCCAAGACAACCAATATTACTTTATTTTAACATATATTTATTTAGTGACAACTATAGTTTTGTATTATAGGCTTTTTACTATATATATTTGTAGTGTATTCTCTCCTTAGTTAGCTATAAAATAAAAAATAAAAATTGACAAATATCTTGTTTCTTTTATTTTCTTTAGTTTTTCCTATATTTTTTTCATTTCACCTATTTAGTACATATCAATCAATTTGGTACATATTTTAAATAATTGAATAATGGCCCGCTTACAATTAAGATTTATAAATATTTGTGATGTAGACCAGAGAGAAGAGCATATTTTATAAAACAATAAGTTATATTTTAAGAGAAATTCTAATATATATTTATTCCTATACTTATTATAAATAAAAAAAACACTAAAAAAAAAACTTTTATTTAAAATGCACTAAAAATAACAAAATAAATATTTCTGAAGTATTGCTTTTTTTTCTGAAGGTACCATTTAACAAATAAAATAATAGACTTAGAAATAAAAGCGGTGGGGGGTGATAATCATTTATGCAGCAAATAGGTATAAATTTAATGAAAGGCATAATCTTGCTAATCATTTGCTTCATATAAAATCACATTGATATCAAATTTATTATTATTGTACCCCACCGCTTTTATTTCTAAGTCTATTATTTTATTTGTTAAATGGTACCTTCAGAAAAAAAAGCAATACTTCAGAAATATTTATTTTGTTATTTTTAGTGCATTTTAAATAAAAGCTTTTTTTAAAGTGTTTTTTATAATTAATTATTCACGCTATTTTTAGTCGTATATATGCCAGTCCAAAAAAAAAAAAGCCTTATCACTGAGACGACTTTTTTAACAATTAATCCGCCTTCTACATGCTTTCGGATAAGCATTTTAAGGCACAACATTTTTGAGAGTCACCAAGCGCCCGCCGTAGTGGAGGGCCAAGGAGAGGCGCCGGAAGGGCAAGTGGGCACCCCGGGGGAGAAGAGGGCGAGAGCGCCGTTTATGAGGGAACCAAGGCAGCACCAAGCACAGCTAAAGCATCGCAGGCTTCAAAAATTTTTAAGGGATCATTTCAGTGATCAAGATAAAGAGATCAAGATTCAGAGATCAATTTATCACTGAGACGACGTTGGCCTTAAATAGCTGCAAGCCTGCTCGCAGCAGATTGGTCAATTCCTCGTGGGAGGTCGGAAGTGACGTAAACATAATCCGTTACTAACAGAACTGCGTCTCTTTGCTTTTGGGAACCCTAAATTTATTGAATTATATTAGAAAGTTAGAGACACCCAGTGGATTATTGTTAGGGGATAATTGGTACATATAAAATTTGAATTATAATTAAACAATATATTAAATAGTTAAAAGTAACAACATACTAATTGAAAAAGGGAAACTATTTAAAAAGGTGTCGTGAAATGTATGGTGGTATATTGTTAGACACAAACCTATATATATATATAATGAATATAAATATATGCGTGATGTTATTGGAATAAGATGACTAAATTATAACAGATAAAATTAATATATTTGTTGGCTTTTCTCATTTATTTGCTTGTAATTCCAAGGACGATTTAGATAGGAATATGAATATTTGGATTTCTAATTCCTTCCATGGCTTGAACATTTATTGAAAAAATCCTTTCGCAACCTCCAGCATTGTCGCATTTTTAGCCAAGAAAAATTGAAATTGACAGGTTCTGGGAAAAAATAGTTGTTTTTTTTAGTCAGAAAATGATAATGAAAATATTGCTGTATCATGTTTGATAATCAGATACAAAATTATATAGGGAAAAAATTCCAAAAGAGCAGAGACCACGGGTGAAGCGAGTTCACTTTTAGTATGCAGAAACAAAATTCTAACAGAAAACATTCATTCGAGTAGAAGACACAAAGCCAGATCATCTATATATATAAAAATAAATGTATGTGTGTGTGTGTGGTGTGTCTGTCCTTTATGCTAACCAAGCCACTCATTGGAACGCCATGAATTTTGGGAAGTTATTTAGTATAGTACTGGGATGGTTTCTAGCAAATAAAATTTTTGAAATAACTTTTCGCCTAAAAATAATCAAGATAAATATTCTAATTTATCTGTTATAATTCAACAATCTGCTCTAAATATTATCATGCATATAGAAAAAAATGATTATATGCCTCTTCTTTATGCAGGACTAAACTACTCATTTCATCGCAATTTAACTTTGAGAAATTGTTTAATATACTACCATGAAAGGTTTCTATCTAATTACACTGGTCAACAACATTTTTGCACAAGAGAACCTGATTATGTTTCTAGTGTAACATTTCATGCTGAACTCAAAAATCTAATCAGAAATTTCCCATCACCTATGGTTTTTTTTGTGACGGTCTTTTTTTAGTATTGGGATAAATACAGTAAAAAATGCAAACAATGTCACGTAACTGGTTTATCAAAAAATATTTTTCTTTGTCCACAAAGAAATAGCATCTTATCTACATGTCCTGAATCCAAATATACCATTAGTTTTTTTTCTATTACGCAATATTTCAGAGATACACCTACTTGAAATTTGGAAATATTGTTAATATATAGGCATATATGAACGAAACATATTTATTTATTCAAAAGCAGTGACAGTGGATTTTCTTCTATACTTTGCTTGTGGTAATCCCTCTTGAGTGTCCAGCAGTAGTCGGCAAGCATAGCGGGACTCCATTTACCTTGGTACCGCTTCTCCATGCTTGATATATCTTGATGAAACCTCTCACCATGCTCATCGCTAACTGCGCCAAGATTGTCTGGAAAGAAATCTAGATGTGAATGCA